AGTGCAAGAAGAATAAAATGTATATTGTGTACCAAGCAAGAACTGCTGTTGGTCTTTGTTGAAATCCCTTCTGCAAATCTTTTTGTATAACTTAATTAGCAAAGTTAAAATTAAGATGAGGCTCCAGTGTGTTTAGATAAAACAATTTCTATGAGAGGACACTTCATTAAAACATTTAATAATGCAGCAAACTCTCAGTTATCAAAGACATCTCTTTACAAAAACTGTTTTTGCCAGTGGAAAAAATGATTCAATCTAAGATATTTATTCTGTTCAAGAAACATTCAAATTTTGCCTTTACTGTGGGTTCATATTCCAGGTGCCTGTTATATGCTCTGCTGACATCACTGATTTCTAGTCTTTATAACAATGCTGTCCCCTAGAATGTATTTAATACGTGTTTATTGAGTGTCTACTATGTGCCAGACACTATTCTAGGCTCTACGAGAGCAGCAGTGAAGAAGATAAAGTGTTTACTCCCATGAGGCTCATATTCTGAGAAATGCAATAAGCAAGAAAACTCATAAATAACAGATATTTAGTACATTCACAGAGTTATGCAACCATCACTACAATTTCAGAACATTTTCATAGCTCCCAAAGCAAACTCTGTTCTCTTCAGCTGTCATCTCCAATCCCCCTGCCTCAACAGCCCTAGGCAATCACTAATCCATTTTCTGTCTCTACAGATATACCTATTATGGACATTTCATAAAAATGGAACCATATAATATCTGGTCTTTTGAAATTAGTTTCTTTCACACAGCATAATGTTTTAAAGATTTATTCACATTGTAGCATGTGTCAATACTTCTTTTTTATTGCTGAATAACAATCCGTTCAGTGGATTTTATTTATCCATTCATCCATTGATGCGCGTTTGCATTGTTTAAACTTTTTTGCTATTAAGAATAAAGTGGCTATGCACGTTCCTGAACAAGTGTTTGTGTGGACATATGTTTTCATTTCTTTTGAATAGATACCTAGGAGTAGAATTGCTGAGTTACTTGTTTAAAGTGTTGGGGAACTGCCAAATTATTTTCCAAAGTTGCTGCATCATTTTACATCTCCACCAGCAGTTTATGAAGGCTTCAATTTCTCCACATCCTCTAGCATTTGTTATTATCTGTCTTTTTTATTACAGCTATTTCTAGTGGTTGTGAAATGGTGTCTCATTGTGGTTTTGACTTGCATTTCCCTAATGACTAACGATGTTGAGCATTTTTTCATGGATTTATTGGCCACTTATATATCTTCTTTGGAGAAATGTTTATTCAGATCCTTAGCTTATTTTTAAATTGGGTCACTAACCTTTTTGTTGTAGAACTGTAAGAATTCTTCACTCTCTCTATAGTCTAGGTATGTCCCTTATCAGATACATCATAGGCAAATATTTTCTACCATTTCTTCTGTTGCCTCTTTGCTTTCTTGAAGACGTCCTTTGAAACATAAAAGTTTTAAATTTTTATCAGGTAAATTTGATCTATTTTTCTTTGTGCTTTTGGTACCATATGTATTGTTTGTGCTTTTGGTACCATATCTTAGAAATCATTGTCCAATCAGAGGTCACAAAGATTTACTCCTGTGTTTTCGTCTAACAGCTTTATAGTTTTAACACTTTCATTTAGGCCTTTGATACATTTTGGGTGAATTTCTGTGTATGATATGAGGTAGGAATTATGTGCTAATTTTGATGAAGTATTTATTAGCCCAGGAAAGGAATACATTTTCTTTTAGTAAAAGTGTTTTCAGAAAGATAGTGTTCACTTATTAAAAACTATTTTGCTTAAACCAGGCACTTTTCTGTTAATACAATAGAAAAATCCTCAGCTTTCAAGGAGGTCATATTGTCTACTGACAGATGTAAACAAACAAATAAATATAACAAAGTCAAGTGGTGTAGGAATGATAAAAACGACAGAATGGTGAACGGGTGGAGAGTGCTGAGGGTGTCGTTTTTATTCTGAGTTGCCAGAGACGGTTTCTTGGGTAAGGTAATATTTGAGCAGAGACTTGAAGGAAGCGAGAGAGTAAGAGCTGGGGATCTCTGGGGGAAAAGCATTCCAGGTGGAGAGAACAGAGTGCAAAAGTCCTGAGGTGGGAATGTGGCCCCCGCCATCCACCCTATGCCCGTGGAACAGCCAGGAGCTCAGTGTCGTTGGAAAGGAGAGGAGTGACAGTCTGGGAAAACTGAAGACATGGGGGGAGCTGAATCACGTGGGCCTCATGGGTCATGGTAGACATTTTGGATGTAACGTGTATTGAGACTGGAAGACATTGGAGGGTTTTGAGCAGAGAGACCAGATGAGCCAACTTATGTTTCAGGAGGGCCACCTTGGTGCAAGCTGCAGAATCGTGTGGAACCAATTAGAAGGCAATAATTCAGGCTAGAGAAGATGAAGGCTTGATTCAAAGTGGCATGGCTGAGGATGGTCAGGGGCTGGGCATATTTGGATGAACAACTTGAGACATGAAAAAAAGTGAATAATTAGGGATATTTCCAGGTTTTTGGCCTGGGCAACGAGTCGTCGTTGACTAAGATGAAGGAGAATACAAAAGGAGCATATCCTGAGAGAGAGGTAGGGGTTCAGCTTGGGGCATACTAAGATTGAGATGCCTGGTTGATGATATCCAAGTGGAAATGTCAAGTGGGGAGCTCAGTACAATTCTGGCTGTGAGAAGAAAGTTCTTAGCTCTTAGCTAGAGGTGTAAATCTGATGCTAACAGCATAGTGTTGGTGATTTTAGCCTTGGGACTGGATTCTGTCACCTAGGAAGGGAGGAGGATAGAATTGGAAGGCATCAAGAAGTGGTTCCTGCAGCATTCCAATGGTCCATTTCTACGCTGAAAGAGGAAAAAGAATTGGCAAAGAAGTACTAGAAGATGTGACCAGTAAGCTAGGAGAACCCAGAGTGATGCCATCATTGGAGTGGATTCAAGGGGAAATTGGAGGGAAAAGGAGCAGCGAGAGCAAGATGACAATGTTATTTAGGCTAAACAAATATTAAACAACTACTTCCTACATGCCAAGAGTTGTTTTAGAGACAAGTCAGGGAAGAAAAGAGACCCAAACCTAACCTTTGTGAGGATGACATTCTAACAGGGGGAGACAGACAATGAAATGATAGGTGTGCAAATTACACAGTACTGAAAGGTAATTCCTGCTTTGGAAAATATATTGAATAAAGATCATCAGGTGGGGAGCTTGGGAAGTGGGAAGACTGCAATTTTAAGTGAATGGTTGGGGTAACCTTTATTGCAAAGGTGGCATTTGAACAAAGACTTGAAGGTGGTAAAGGAGTTAGCAGGTCCCTGAGAGAACACACCAGATAGAATTTGCCCCTGTGCCGGGGCTGAGTGGGCCTAAGGAGACAAAAAACAAACAAACACACCAAACCAAAAGAAAAGAAAACAGCAAAAGGACCAGTATGCCTAGAAGAGTATGAGTGAGGAAAGCAGTATCAGGAGGCTTGAGTGGAAAGATGACAAGAGACCTGAATGTTAAGGTCTTGTAAACCATTATAAGGACTTGTGGGAGGGAGCCATTGGAGAATTGCATGGAGGAATGGCATGATTGGACAGCCTAATGGGTAGTGGACAGGACAGACCCTGGTCATATATATATTTAAGAGACAGGATCTCACTATGTTGCCCAGGCTGGAGAGCAGTAGAGTGAACCCGGCTCCCTGCAGCCTCAAAATCCTGGGCTCAAGAGATGCTTCTACCTCAGCCTCTCAAGTAGCTGGGACGACAGGGGTGCCCTCCTACACCTGCCTAATATTTTTGGCAATTTTTTTTGTAAAGATAGGGGTCTCACTATGTTGCGCAGGCTCCCATCATATTTTGAAGATAAAGCTTATAGGATTTACCGATGGTTGTGGGAAGTGGAAGTAGGAAGGAAATCCAAATTGAGTGTGCAATTTTGACCTGAATGACTGGAAGGTTTGGGCAGCCTTCACCTGAGAGGGGGAGGATGCAGGGGAAACAGATAGGGAGGAAGTAAATGTTTTTGTTTATTCAGTTACTATTTATAAAATATTGAAGTAATAAGTTTTCAGGGAATTTCTACTTAGTCAAACATATTTAGCATTAACAGTCTACTGAATTTAACTTCTTAGTACTTCCTAGGGCCCTTCAATATTTCATGATTTTTTCATGTTAATCTGGTATCATCTAATCCTGTGACAAACCACGAGAATTTTCATTTTAATAGTACATTCTTGACATTCAGTGGTAACTAAATGAAATTTTGTAGAATCTGTTTTTATGTCTATTTTTTGATCTCCCCAATTTGAATTTTGAATAAACAGGCATCTCTGTTTATTTGTAATTCATGTTTGAGAATGATTCATGCTCTTAAGACGTAACCAGCTTTGGCTTGAAAAATTAAATAAGCCTTTTAAATATTTAAGCTATATAGTTTTGTACTAAATATAAAAGTTAAATAAGCAGAAAGTTCACTTTTGCTGTGATAGCTTCCATTTGTAGCTTACAGTTCTGCAGTGTATTTTGTATTGACCGCAGTTACATATCCGTGCATTTGCCAACTGAAAAGAACAACATGCTTAATTTTTCAGATAATGTAACCTAATGAATACACCCGCCCAGTACTTTTTTTTTATTCAACTGAAGTGATTATAAGGGTGTGAAACACGTTTGACCCTGTCTTTGTTCCTCTTATAAGTCCCTGTTTTACAACAGAATACTTGAGACTGAGGAATTTATTTATTTATTTATTTGAGACGGAGTCTGGCTCTGTCGCCCAGGCTGGAGTGCAGTGGCCGGATCTCAGCTCACTGCAAGCTCCGCCTCCCGGGTTCCTGCCATTCTCCTGCCTCAGCCTCCTGAGTAGCTGGGACTACAGGCGCCGCCACCGCACCCGGCTAAATTTTTTTTATTTATTTATTTTTGGTAAAGACGGGGTTTCACCGTGTTAGCCAGGATGGTCTCGATCTCCTGACCTCGTGATCCGCCCGCCTTGGCCTCCCAAAGTGCTGGGATTACAGGCGAGAGCCACCGCGCCCGGCCGAAACTGAGTAATTCATAAAGAAGAGAGCTTTCTGTAGCTCATGGTTCCACGGGGTGGGAAGTTCATGGGACATGGTGCCAGCATCTGCTCAGCTTCCGGTGGGGGCTTTTGTGCTGGGTCGTAGCATGGACGAAGGTCAACAAAGAAAGGGCAAAATCCGAGGGGGTCCTCGCTTTATAACAGCCCCCTCTCAGGGGAATCAGTTTATTCTCACGAGAAGTAATCCAGTCTAAGGAGAGCAGAACTCCCTACCATGAGACCCATTCCAGGCCATTCATAAAGGAAACCCCGTCAATGACCCAAACATTTCCCACCGGGCCCCACCTTCCCCACCAGCACACGGGGACCACATATCAACATGAGATTTGGTGGGGTCGAGCTGTATGTAAACCGTAGAGTACCTGAAGCTCAAATATCACATTCCACTGAGGTGTGACCTGACCCCCAGGGAGCTCGCTGGTGGCTCATTGAGCAGTCCTCTCATAGCAGTCACTTAATATCTCGATTACAAACATGATCTCCTTGTATTTCAATTATACGCTTGCCCGTCTGTCTCTCTGTTCTGGCAAGTGCTCCCAGATACATACTTCGTGGCCCCCCGAGTCTTAATGGTGCCTGCTATGGGGAAGACGTGCAATAGATGTAGAAAGATGTAGAGAGAATGCATACATTCCTAAGCGGGCAAATGCTGCGAACTTTTTTAACACACATAAACGCTGTATCCGAACTCTCTTCGTGGAAAGTTCAAACAACCACCAAAAAGCAGCTTCTCTCCAATTTTTCACTGAGGCAGAGTCCAGGACTTGTGAGACCACCTGTGGCGTTCCTCCACGGCTGCTAAGGAGCCTGCAGAACTGAGGAGACAAAACAGGGCAGAGTCACTCCAGCCTGAGTGCAAAAGTAGATGAAGCTGTCCCTTCTCGGGGTCGTTCTTTTCCATTCTTGGTATAGGAGTCGAAGTTTCTTTGCTGGGCTTTGCTAGAGGTGATAATTCTATAAAATAATATGCTTAGTTTTTCAGATAATATAACCTAACGAATGTACACGCGAGTAGGTTCTATTCCTTTTTGGCCACTCTAGCACAGATTTCTCCCAAAACATTTGGGCAGTGAACAAAAGCTAAAAAACTGCTCCTCTCTGGTGCTGTAAAAGATAGCCTTTGGCAGGCCCCGCAGGCCTTCATAGACAGCATCTTGTCTTCACAGCCGCACCTCCTTTTTTGAGGTCACATCACCAGCATTCTGAGTACTAGAGTACCTATTTAGGACACGAGAACATGCAACAATCAAAGAATTTGCACGGAGCACATGGCTAGTAAAAAAACAACAAAAAAATCCCACTGTTCTAGGATTTCTCCATCGATTTGAGGGAACCAGGGAATTCTCTAGCAGCCATAGTTAAGGGTCACTTTAGCAATTGGAAACAATGATCAAGCAGCAAATTGTTGGCAAGGGACATCCAGACAGAAGGTAGCTGAAATTGATGGCTTCTGTGGAGGCCAAGGGAATTCAAAACAGAATTTGCCTGGGATTTTGCTTGGCCAAACCACCTTTACTAAAGAACTGTGATGTCCAAACAATGCCCATCTTCCACATCAGATTCAGAAAGCCAGAATGAGGAGTTCCTAAATAAATAAAAGTTATTCCAGAGGGATGAAGGGACCACTTTTCAAAAAATAAAATAAAAAATGCCTCTTCCGTGTATTGCCCCAATTTGCTCCATAGGCAATGTTGCTGTGAAGCTATCCAAAGAATGTATTATTTGGTGCTATCAGGTGTTAAAGAGCTTCAAATAATTTTATATGTAATTTACAAGATTTTAAGTTTTGACTGTACCTGTACATGACCTCTGTCCTGACATGGACGGCAACTTAACCTGGTTTAAGGACAAATGATTCTAGCTGGATATACGTCTTCATCCTGAAAAGATTCAGACGACAGTAGAGACCATCATCACCATTATCTCCCACTACAGTCTCTGCCCGCATAGGTCCTACCCGTTCTCTTGGCTCCTAGCTTCTAGGTCAAAATGATTGCAACCTATGTAAACTTAAGCAGTGCCTGTAGGCTAACACCAACAATTTCTTGGCAAGTGAAATTGGACCCTTGCTTACCTCCCCCGCCTCGGATCTCACTGCTGCACTAATTCCTGCTATTCTCCCTGGCTCTGATTCTCCTGAGCTGCTTCCAGGTCTCCACATGGCTCAGACGATCTTTTGCCCTCTGCCTCCCTGGTCCCTCTGCCTTAGTAACCTCTGTTCCGGTGCTAACCGCCCCTCACTTTGCAGACCCTGCTTCTGGCTGAAAGCTGCCTACTCTTACCTGAGCCAAGGTTGCTTTCCTGAACACCAGTAGCCCTTCACTCAGCCCAACCCCGCGTAAGTGCTTCCCCATGGCATGCCCCATCTTTACCCTTTCTCAGTCCTTAGTGTCCTCCACTGTATTGTAGTTGTGAGGGGAGAGGGCTTATTCCCGGCACCTAGTTTATTGCAGAGGCATAATGCATATTTCATGATAAATGAAACCCCAGAACCTCACTCCCTGAAAAAACTCACCAAATATTGTTGTTTCTCAAAGAGGGCAGTCTTGGTGCAAAAGAAAAAAATGAAGCCTGAGTTTGTATTACAAAGGCATGAGCTTGAACCAGCTCTGTTACCTACTAGTCTTACACCTCTAAGACATCACTTCCTTTCTAGGTGAGTCAGTTCGTGCATCTATACAATAAGGGTAATGGTACTTTCCTTCTAAAGTAGCTGTGATTTCTAAAGGCTTACTGGCACACGACGTACATAGCAGTGCAGTATTTGGGACATTGTTGGTAGGAGTAAAATTACTCATCATTCCATGGATATCCTGGAGTGTTCATCTGGAATGCAGCTGGACAGAGCCATTCCTTCGTGTCCACACGGCCACATGACACCTTTGCTCAGTTGCCATGACAAGCTGCAGGCTTCCCTCACAGTCACTCCAAGACAGCTCTGCGTGCACAGGCACTGGTGAAGTGGGGCAGGCTGCAGCGTGCATACCTTGCACTCAACCCCCTAAAATGGACACTTCCAGGTACACTGGCCAGGAGAGGGGTCTTTGCGGTTGGTCTATACGTGACGTTACACGGCTAAATGAAACAAAAATTCTCTGTGCTTATGGCCCATGAAAACAATGAATCAAGGAGGAGAAGACAAGGGCAGAAGGTGAAAAGGTTTCAATCTCCAGGAAGCCGCACCTGCACCTCTCATCAACCTGTCTTCGCCAGCTATTGTTAAAGGAATAGAAGGCATTTCTAATAAACCTAGTATCATTTTCAAAATACCAAGTAGATTATTTTGTTTTATGTAGAAAAGAATACTTTGGAATCTGAGGGAGCTATCGACCTTCATATGGCACAATAATGATACCAACAATAAAAGGAACTTGGATTGAGAGCTTATTGTGTGGCAGATGCTGTGATAAGCATGTTACAAGTGCTATCTGATTTTTATTTCATTTTCTAATGATGTTGGAGGTGGCTTCATGTGCCAAGAGTGTCTTACGCTGACCAGGCTGCTATAACGAAATGCCAGAAACCAAGTGGCTTATAAACAACAGGAATTGATTTCTCACAGTTCTGGAACCTGGAAGTCCAAGATCAAGGCGCTGGCAGATTCGGTGTCTGGTGAGGACCACTTGCTGGCTCGTAGATGGGGCTTTCAGGCCGCGTGCTCACATGGTGGAAGGGGAGAGGGAGTTCGTCGACGTTTCTTTTATAAGGACACTAATCCCATTCGTGAGGGTTTCTTCCTCAAGACCCAGTCACCTCCCAGGGATCTCATCTCCTCATACCATCACCTTGGAGATGAGGGTTTCAACAGAGGAATTTTGGGGACACAAATATTCACACAATTGTAAACAGGAAACTTCTGCAATCCTAGTGTTACCATAGAAAGAAGGAAATTTTTGTGTCACTTTTTGAGCATGGAAAACCCAGGAAAAACATTTCCAGCTTCTCCCTACCCCTTCTTCCCTCCTTCCTGGTTGGGTAGGAGAGACCTCTGTGAGCCATGAATTGGGGAGAATGAGTGGAACCTGGTGGGCTGGGCACAGCTTAGTCTCTGTTGGATCCACCTGTCCCCTGCTGGGTGCATTTTGACCTGCTCTTGGCTCTTCACAAGCTTAGAGAAGCTGGCTTTGCCCATATTGGGCCCTGACCCTAAAATGGCCAAATTGGCAAGGGAGTGCATATCTAAACCATATTCTCTAATCAGCTTAATAGTAACACAGCTGATATTTTAGTTTGCATTTCTGTCCCCTATGTCTGATTCCTTAATAGATACCAAAGCAGGAGGGGAAAATAGGGTTTTTCTTTGCCATCCTACACCCATCCCCGAAACCAAAATTTTAACTGGAAAATCAAACGTTGAACAATCAGCTTTGCATTAACAACACATTCAATTAGCCCACAAGGGGACACGAGCACAGGCTCCTGAAGGAGATAATTGATGGGGAGCAGCCTTACAAAAATGGGATTTATGAAGATTTGGTCCTCAGAAGATTCTTTAAAAGCTAGAGGAAAAGGGTTGATTTGAGGAGTATGGACACCGCCTAAAATTGTCGATGAGTTGACATGTGCTTTCAGTTCACTCGTGCACAGCACACAGGCGCAACCGCTCCCTCCCACACCACACTGCTCATGTTGGGGGCAATGGGACTTCATTAACAAGATCTTACCATTCATCCCTTCTCTCTATTATCTCCTCTAGGATGGAGGACAATACGAGTTGAAATACCAACTTATGATTTATTTTTGCCAGCCACAGAATTGCTCATCAAAGTTAGATGCTAACAGTTTTGAAACTCCCATCTCCTAGATCCAGAGACCTATAAGCTGAGAAGTGGCTACAGGGAGGGGGAGAGGGAAGAGAAAGGAAACGCAGTCTTGTCTGAGAGAGAAAGGCAGCCTGGCATGCAGAAGAGATCAGGGGCCTCTGCTGCCACCCTGGAGAGCCCTGAGTGAGGGCACCATGGCCAGAACAATTACTTGCTCAGTTCTGGCCCAGGCAGAGGAAAAATGGAAATTTCCCTCAGGGCAGTAAGTCCTATTTTAGACCAGTAGCAGCTGTTTCTTTTTTCTTTCTCTTTTATTTTGAGATGGAGTTTTGCTCTTGTTGCCCAAATTGGGGTATAATAGCGCAATCTCGGCTCCCTGTAACTTCCGCCTCTCAGGTTCAACAATTCTCCTGCCTCAGCCTCCCAAGTAGCTGGGATTACAGGTGCCCACCACCACAATCAGCTAATTTTTGTACTTTTAGTAGACAGGGGGTTTCACCACTTTGGTAAGGCTGGTCTCGAACTCCTGACCTCAGGCGATCCACCCACCTCGGGCTCCCAAAGTGCTGGGATTACAGGTGTGAGCCACCGTGCCCAGTCAGCACCTGTTTCTTTCACAAGGTAGGAGCTGGAAAGTGGGTAGCGAGAAGGCCTCGTGTTGCTCCCAGGAGCAGCTCCCTGGGAGGGATGGCTGCAGGAAGCTTGTCCAGGAGTCCCTCCTCTCACTGGGGAATGGGAAGGTTGAGGCACAGGCAGAAGCAGTTCCCTTCTGATCCCCATCTCATTTACCTTTATCCCAGATCACTGTCTCCTTCTGGATTACTTCGAAAGAGAATTTGCAAACTATTTGTAAAATAAAAATATTCAGATCGCCAACATGTTTAAATGAAGAGGAGGAATGTAAATATTGTCAAAATTGTTTTTTCTTAATGATATACTTATTGTTAACCTTACCTGTGTCCTTCAGATGCAGATGTTTGATTTGTCTGAGTGACACACAGAAGCATCCCAGCTATGCATTCAGGAGGTTAGACACGAATTTAAATCTAATCCTTCCCCACCTCCAAGACGCATATATATTTTCTCAAAGCTTCACAATAATATTGAAGAAGAGACACATCTTTTTATTTGTACGAATGTAGCATTTTTTAGAATTTATACATGCAAAACGATTTGCAGGTTTATTTTTATATTTAAAGAGGCAACAGTGCACTGATGTCCCTAAATCTGGGTGCCCTGGTCACTTTTATCCCCTCCCTGAGTGATAACAGAGTTTATCTAGAATAAAATCATAGAAGGAGTTCATTATGAAGTCAGTCAACTAGACCCAGGCTTCCTGGCAATAAAACATGGTGCAAAAATTTCTCCTTTTCTGCGCGATTATAAAAGGAAGGTCAGATTAGGTTTGAGATCACAAGGAAAATTCCTTGGGAAGTAAACTTTTCTATATGATAGTGAAAGGTACCACTCAGAAGAGTCAAAGAGATAGCCCTCTCACCCTAAAGTCAATAGGAAATTCAAGTCCATTGACATTGTCATTGGCAGAAGGGGTTCCAGGATGATTGACATAAATTGCTATCTTGGAAGAACTGTGGAGAAATGTCATTTCCGAAATTAAATAGCTTGAATCTCTGTGGCCAGCGGATGGGTGGCGTGTGGATGACCACACACAGCGGGGAGCTCACTTGGCATTTAGCTCAGTTACCGTGATGCCCTGAACATACACGTCTGAAAGGAAAAGAAAAAAAGAAAGGGGAAAAGGGATTCCATTGCCTAGAAACCAAAACCTCACGACAGAGAAACCGAACAGAAGAAGGAAAAGTCTTTGTACACTTTGCCTTGCTTTGTGTCATATTTTCATCCCTAAAAGAAAGGAAATTTTCTGATGAATCATCTGATATGAACGGAAAGTAAAACAGGAGTTGTCTCCCGGAGTCTCCACTGAGTGATAGTGCCTACCTGGGCTTGCAGCATCCTCTAGAAACGAAAGATGATGAGGATGCAGAAAGTTAACTCATTAATATATAACATCTCTGCACACAATTTGCCAACTTTTCATTCTGTCTTACAAGGTTTTAGGAAGAACTAAAACAAGGGCAGCTTTCAGAGACAGAATG